CACCAAATCCTTTTTTTTTTAATATTTCATTTGTGCGCTGGAAGCGAATAATTATTAATAGAGTATAGTCATTATTTGGTAACTTATATGATATTTGCATGGATGTTATTTACAATGATGATGTTTAAGTTAAACGCCTTGTAGGAGGTCGTCGGGGTGTAGCCTTCGGAGGCGCCTCTCTGTGATGGGGTTAGCCAGGACTCTGGCGGCCGCGTTCGGGTGATGCAGCATCTTGTCAGCGTATCGGCTCCTGAAAAGTTTACTTAAGTGCCAATCTTTGTTAGGCGAAGATCGCGTTCCATGGCGTCGGTTGTCACGTACCATGGCAGGCCGGCAAACCTGTAGCCTTAGCTTGGACCACTCTTATGCGGTGCAGCTGGGGTGCTGACGCCGTGCCCCAAACATGAATGGCATATTTCCAGAGAGGCGTAATCATCGTTTTCACGAGCAGTGCCTTCGTGAAAACACACCAAATCCTAAAACACTGGCATCACAATGTAACTCAATTTTATCATTATAATTATAAAGAGCTTAAATTGGCGATTCCATTAATTTTTTTTTAGTGTCAAGAAACAACTCAATTCTTTTTCTTCGAACTCAAACTGCCTATATTTTCTTAATAGATCATATAGGGACTTGGCTATTGTTAAAAAATCTTTATTAATTTGATCATAAGCCAAGAAAGCTCTGAACAGCATGTGTCTTGTCTGGAACTGGAAAGTTTTTTATGGCTTCTACTCCCTTTTCATCCGTTCTTATGCCTTCTTTTGCTATCAACAACTCAAAATATTTTATACTTGACTGTATAAATTCACATTTATCCATCCGTAATTCTAACTAGTTTTGTGCCATTTTAATTTTATTTCTCCAAATGTTTATATTAATGTTTCCCAATGTTCGGCCATGTTTTTGCTTGCTACCATTGTCTCCGATATCTTATACCCGATTCCCTCTAATGAAATCTGCAAATATTTTACTTACAAACCGTTGAAGTACTGTGCATTCTTCAACCCAATTGGTATTCTTGAAAACTCGTATTGCCCTAAAGGTGTGACGAATGATGTGAACTTGATTGATTCCTTGGAAATATCCATTCTTTAGGTCCAGTTTTGAAAACGCTTTAATTTACTAATTTGTCTAACAAATCATCTATCAGTGGCAGAGGATCATTGTCTCTAATCAGTACCTTATTCAGTTTCCTATAATCTATGCACAATCTCATATCTCCCGTCTTTTTATACCCTGAACCCATTAAAAATGGGTAACGAGGGTATAGCCTATTTGTGCTAAATGCGAATGTATGTAACAGGCAGAAGGATCCTTGATCAGCACCAATAGCCGAGTCGATCTGGCCATGAGTAAACTGTGCAAAAAATAAGAGCTAGAGTCATCACACATGATATGTTGCTTCCAGAATATTATATATATTTCATGCTTTTTTAGTTCCTTTTTTATCATAAGTACTTAATTATTGGTGTGGCTGCTGAATAGAGGCAGAGAAAGTGGTGCGGTCTGTCACGAGTTCAGCTGCTGTGCTGATGTGGATGTTGAGTAGAGCTTCCTCCTTCCTCCTTTGAGCTGCTACTCGGTCTATATCACGACCACAGCCAACACCTCCGCTATTACCGCTGTCACTTATGCAGTGGCTTCAGCTACTTCTGCGACAGCTCGCAGCTCAGTAAGGCCTAACAATCTGCAAGACAGCAGCAGAAAGCGGTCATGCCACCCTAAAACCACCTCTTGCGCCCTTGATATGCCCAATACATATCCTGTAGCACTTGCAATCAACACACAAGGCGGTATTGTGCCTCATATCGAAGAATTACTCTATATAGAAATTCGTTTGTGGTAGATGTGCTGAAGAGCACCCAACAGAATCTCCTCCTTGCAAAGCAGTCCAGGAAGCCGACTTCTTCTGCGCCAACTGCGGCGGAAACCACTCTGCCAATAACAAGAGCTGTAAATGGTACATAGACCGAATCAAGGTACGCAAGGCGGCTCCTAATATCTTGGGTCCCCTCATCAAAGCTCACAATGCTCGGCAAAATATAAATAAATTTCGATTCATCCTTCCTCCCATGGTAGCTGGCAAATCCGTATCTTTTACGGACATGCTCAGATCGGATAAGCCAGCAATCAGAGAGCGAAGAGATGCCACCCAACGCTTACCGGATGAAAAAGCGTACGAAAGGCAGCCCAACAACATTTCCGGAAACCGACCGAGCGATGATACTAGTTCTAGAATTGCGTCTCTTGAAGAGTCTATGCTAAGTCTTACCTCAAGAATGGACCAAATCCTAAACACACTTCATTGAAACTCCGAAACTCATCAAATCCTGATGTCGGTAATTTCCCGCCTTATCCCATCAAAATGAGGCAATTAAGGATCGGATTATGGAACGCGGATGGTCTTTATATTAAAATCTGAACTGACCTTCCTTACCACCCACAACAGCGACATTATGCTCCTAACGGAAACTTACATGCGCATGTGTACCAATATTTATGCCCCCGGATATATTGCATACACAGCTCAACACTCCTGCAACTATCGTAAAAGAGGTGCCGGCATCCTTATTCACCACAGCCTGAGCCACCACCCCCTGGAACACATATATCAACACCTGCAGATGGCCGCAGTCAAGGTAAGCACTAACCGAGGAGATTTCACAATTGTCTCTCTCTACCTCCCGCCAACTGTGGACCAAAGCCAACTTTGAGTTCCTAATAATGAACCCAGGAACAAAGTTCGTTGCCGGGGGGGACTGGAATGCGAAACACAGTCTATGGTGAAACAACAGAGCCTGTACGTGGGGGCAGAGATTGCACGAAGCCATAGTTGACTGCAGATGTGATGTCTTGGCAACCGGAGATGCAACATACTACGCATACAACTCGCAACGCACTCCTAGCGTAATAGACTTCTTCATATATAGTGGCCTTAGGTAGAACTCACTCTCTATCGAAGCCAAATATGACAATCTTCCTCTTTTGGCTACTGTCCACACCAACCCTGCTTCGAATTGGATTCAAAGGATTCCCCCTCTCTGTTTTATTTATTTCACAGCTTCCTCAAAAGTAGACAATTTGTTGTGGTAGTCGACGGCACATTCTCAAGTGTGGCGAATTACCATCAATCTGCTCCACATTCGCGATCCGCAGAGATACGTCGCCAAGAGTGTACCTCCAAGGCGAACTTCATGAACACAAAACGGCCACCACTACCTTGGAATCCACATTGATCGCAGGCTCACTTGGAGCAAACATATAAGACCAGTATGTCATAGCTTACGACAAAAACTAAAGAATAACATGGCTCTTAAAGGAAAATTCCAAGCTCTCTCTCTCTCTCTGTGAGCAACAAGGTGCGGTTGTAATAATTCCTTTTGGCGCTATGGAAGCCAAATCTTCGGCACTGCAGCAAAATCTCATTGGAGAAAAAAAATAATAAAAAATAAAAGAACGAAAATAATAAAATTAATAAACAAATACAATTTTCGGAAACTAACTCGATTTGCGCAGGCACTAGGAGGAGATACATCTAAAATTTCAAGTCTGTAGCGCTTATAAGTTATTTAACCTTGCGTTTATAAATACGGACAGACGAACGGACGGAAAGACAGTGGGACAAGGCTAGATTGACTCAGCTATTGATGCTGATCAAGAATATATATAATTTATGGAGTCGGAGATGCTTCCTTCTGCCTGTTACATACATTTACATTTTGCACAAACACAATATACCTCTTTTAACCATTTTCAATAGCATAAGAACTTTACAAATAAATCCTATTCAATAAATATATAAATAAACACCCACTTAGAAATCTAACTAATATTTAATAATAAATAAATAAACATCGACCAAAAAATAACTCGCAAAAATATTTGTTTTCTTGTTTTTTTTTTCAAAATTTATATGCTTCGGGAGAGCTTACCAAATCCTAATACAGGCTAACTTGTCAAACATAATCAAAGAGTATCACAGAATGATGCAAAACAAAACTAATAAATGAAAAAATAACATCTGACAAAATTACCCTAATATCACATTTTTATCTGTAGATGCCTTTATCATTGCGGCGAACGTGACTTACCGTCAAAAACCACGACAAGAAAAGCTTCTCATGCTCATGGATATTGTGGTATTATTTGACTAAAAAAGCTATATGATGATGGGCAGGTTTTTCAAGCCAATCGCAACCATAACAAGAAAAAAACAAAAAAAAAACAATCCAAAAGGGAGCCGTCACCTTGCAAACGACGCAAGCCGGAAACAAAACAGCGCTTCATATGGATTCAAAATTCACACGCAACAAAATGCACCTACCAAGTACAGCCACAAAAATAACAATAAAAGTAAACAAGAATACAAAAAAAAAACAATGCTGTGAGTATTCGCATAGTACGGCAAGGTTTTCTCGTAGGGAAATAGCTAATCCTTGTCATCTGTCATTAACACTTATCTCGGATACCGTGGCTAGCTGGTACTCAACATAACCATCCCTTGCTAACTTAAAACGTAGTAGATCGAGAAACGAGGCTTCATTACGTTGCTCGGCATAACCCCTTTTCTAACTGGAAGTGTAGATCGAGAGACTCGGCCACATTACGTCGCTTGACATAGCCCTTTTCCTTACCTAAATCATAATAGATCGAGAGACGTCTCTCATAATAACAACCCCTTTCCCAAACTAAAGTATAGGGTACCGAGAGAGACGAGGCTTCGTTATGTCGCTCATGGTAATCATCGCAGCAGTAGTTTGTGTGTGGACTGAGACGGACTCCGGCAGAAAACGCTGGGCTATCCACCAAACGCTGAAGGTCAGCTCGGTCGTTCCGGATATGCGCAGGCTTTTCTGCTAGGAGGATCAAAGGCAGAACAGCGACTTACAAATATCTTGTAGGCTTGCTGAACCTGGCGAGACCGCGATTTCTCCCCCGCCCAGCAGCTTCCTTACAATATTGCTATGGACTGCTTATTTCTGTTTAGGCTGCGCCGGATGGCTCATGTGTAGTCCCATCCAGTGCCCGCATTTCGCACAATCTATATCAACAATGCTACAACCTCTTCACTAACACATACCTACACAACACAAAACGAACCAGAAAATCGATAACATCAGACAATCGGAACGACTTACGAATGAACAACACCAACAGCTGTGACAACAAGAAAATGTAAAGAACAAAAGTGAAGCGTGTCCCGGCTCCGGACCCAGCGTACCCGCCCTACCCGTGGCGATCACCTGATCTCGTCTCTCTTCTTTTTTACAGATTTTATTTTAACATAATCAAATGGAACAGACGACCATACGGCCAAAGGTTTTTGCCAGTCGCCGCAAAAAAAGGAATGGAAGCAATTATGAGGCAATCGTTGCACCGACTAAGGAACACAAATACCTTTAAACGGGTATGCAGCGATAATCAGTCGTGCAGCAGTTAGGTAATATATTATATCACTTAAATCTACCCTACCCTGCCTAAAGAGCCCATTTTGGGTAGCAAGGGACGAAAGTAAAGGTATTTCATGAATGTGTGTATTGTTCATGCAAGTACCAAATTTGATATTTAATAGGCAGATGCAATAACATATGGAGTTTTTCTCACTCTGTTCGCAATCAAGGAGGGTTTTCTTAAGTGAAACTATATATATATATATATATATATTACAAAAAACTACATTTGACAACTGCGAAAATCTCTTTCAGGGAGTCTGCATATGAATCTGCCGTTATTTGGGGCAGGAATGGACGAAATGGAACAGACTCATTCGGATGATGGCCGTTTCTTCTTGATGAGTGCGCCGAGGCCTAGCCGCACTTAGGACCTCCGGCGTAGACTTTAATAGCTGTGCGTTCACCAAATTGCTGAGGTGACTTTCATAGAGTGTTGTTTTCGTCGGTTTAATGTTGTACGATATTATGCTTTATTATAACCGTGTGTGTGTTTGAAAGTCCCAGGTATTATTTGAATGCTGTCATTTTTTGCAATATGTTTGCTCTTAATAAATTTGGCCTCGAAATTTAGCACACTTGTTGTCTGAATTAAATTAAAACTTTAACTTTATACGAGTAAGACTTGTGGCTGACATGAAAAAAGAAGACTTTAATTTTCTTTCGAGCATGGCACACCGCGGTGGACCGCTCATAAAATCGAACTTTCCGGTTGTACATTTGGCAGTAACCTTATAGGTGCCGATATTCGGCACATGCATACATTCAAATATGATCATCGTTGCTGCCCGTATGCACAGCCGCATTTTTGAGTCAACGGCCAGGTTGTATACCAAGGGTATTAGCAAGGGCATTCGATCTGCTCATTACCCTACGAGCGAATCGGGTGCACAACCGCCAATACTTTCCCCACCTTTTTTTCGCAAGCCTTGCAAAATTTGAGGCGCCTATGGTGATTAGGGCCCGTACCGATATATCAGACGTTAGCCTTATATTCCGCATGCAATAATATCAATAAGCACAATGCGAGGCTTCGAGCTCAGTGGCAAAACATCGGTATACATATGAAGATCAATAAATGTATAAGGCCCCATAAATATCAAAACTAATGATTAAATATAATTCAGGAGACAAGAGAAAATTTAAATAAGTTTTTAACAACATATTAATATGTGCATCGACGCTATTCACTAACATAGCCTTTATATTTTTCATAACAATTGGGAACAAGTTCAAAAAAATACGAACGTTGCTGTTTTTACATTTAAGATACAAAAGAGAGTGCCCGTCGGCGCTGTTAAACTTAAGGTACAAAAGAGTAATTTCTGTTATTATTATTAATCATAGCCCAAACAAAAGCTGTTGGTGCTGAAAGTGTACACCTTAATATAACAATCAAGTGCGCTCTCATTTAATAGTAGCTATTAACTATAGTTTGAAAATCTAAAATATAAGTTACCATATTAAAACGTTGTAAGATAGAAAATAGCGATTTTAAGTCAGAGTGGCAACTTAGTCCTGCACGAAGCGAGGGTGAACTGCAAGAAGGATTATTTGTCAGTTGATTCAGCATTTTTGATTCAGAGTTCTGAAAGTCGTGTATAAATTTAATGGCTCGAGTTCGAGAGATATTGAACAGTTGGTGGGAGTAGGTTGAAAAAATAAGCTATAACGGTTCAGTGGAATTTGTTATGTGAGAGGATGATAGAGTTTATGTATATTGCGTTTTATTAGCTTCAATATATGTTTGTTTTATTACTCCAGTAGTCTCAGAGTCTTGTGGTATTCAAAGCTTGTCACAGACTGCTCTGAACACTAATGCTTAAAATACTTACAATACTTTTGCCAATTATGTCCACCATTGTAGGTCCTCCTAGTGCCTGCACAGATCGAATTTGTTTCCGATAATCGATAACTTACTCGGTTTCCAAATGATCGATAGAAATCGATATCGACATCCTGTTTTTTTTAGCAATTTTGGTAAATTATAAGAGGTAGAGTCACCAAACATGATATGGTGCTTCTAGAATATTATATATATGTCAAGTATCTTTCATTTTATACCTAATAACGACCAACCAACCAACCAACCAACAACCAACCAAAATAGGCCACAATTTAAATGCAATTTATTTTTTGAAAATACACAAATATTCTATGGTTCAATGGTTTTTTTAAATTTCTCTTTATTACTTTGTGCTACTAAGTATATGCGAGTATATTTTATTTACTGATTTCAAGGTATGAATGTATTTTGTATGATCACGCAAGCCCTGACTTGTCTCTAGTAAGTAGTTTTTGGGAACCGCGAGCTGATCCAGTGCCGGACTCTTTCGTGAAAGAAAGTCGTGACTAAGCTATGATTTATCGATTAAAGATATTTTATTAAGGCGATGAGACTGCCACATCCACTCCCCCTCCAATGCTGCAACTCAGTTGCAAAATGAACGTATTTTTTTGGGTGGACGTACTTCACGTCCGCTACTTATAGGGTGTTGAACGTTGCCGTTAGTTGCATGTGGAGATGATGTTGTGTCGTTTGCTTCCAAGCTGACTTAACACTGATATATTTACAGGTTTCAGTTGGGACATGGTTGAACGTAGGCGCTTAATGAATTCACTCTCGACATACTCTTTGGCAAGTTTTTGGAAAAATTCACCAAATGCACAGGTTGTCCCGTAAACCATTTCCGCTGGAGAAGCGTTGAGATCTTCTTTAAATGTTGCTCGTAAGCCAAGTAGTTCGATGGGAAGGCTGTCGGTCCAGATGGAATCAGTGCGACATTTAATAGCGGCCTTCAGCGTCCTGTGCGTTCTTTCCACTATGCCATTGGCTTGTGGGTATGCTGTTGTTCCCAGATGCTTCGATCCCGTCAACTGTGTAAGTTCCCTGAACGATTTAGACTCAAACTGTCTGCCTTGATCGCTAGTTATAAAGAGTGGCATGTCGTAGTTTGCAATCCAACCATGCAATAAAGATTAAGCGACCGTCTCTGCCGTTATGTCTGCTATTGGGACTGTCGCCGGCCAGCGTGAGAACCGGTCAATGCACGTCAGCCAGTACCTGCAATTTTTGGACAGTAGTAACGGGCTAATTAAGTCAATGTGGATATGTTCAAATCGCTTTTCACGAAGGTTAAATTCTTGAAGCGCTGCTTTGTTGTGTTTGTTGACTTTTGACTGCTGGCAGCTGATGCCATGTTTCTTGTCATGTCTCTCCAGACGAATCGTTCGGTAATAAGTTTCACCGTAGCGCGCTTACCTGGGTGCGATAAGTAAAGAATGGAATCGAAGACTTGCTTACGGTTGCTTTGTGTGATATACGGATGGAATAGACTTCGTCATATATAGTGGCCTTAGGTAGAATTTACTGTCCATCGAGGCCAAATATGACAATCTTTCTCTTTTGGTTACTGTCCACACCAGCCCTTTACAGCAGCCAAAAAGAAAGAGACTATTGCCACTTTAGTTGACAAGTGGGAAAGTTGAAAGATTTCAGGCTGAACTCAATAATTCCATCAACTAAACCTCAGGCATTAGTTTGGATTTCGAAGACGACTTGGGACTCCGGAGCAGCTTCACCGAGTGCTTGAATTCATCCTTGATAGCTTCGAGAACTTCGAGTATTGCGTCGCGGCATTCGTTGACATCAAACAGGCGTTTGACCGAGTGCGGCCTAAGGACTTTGCTTCTCCTCGCTCTTTTTTATGTATTCCACAGCTTCCTCAAAGGCAGACAACTTGTTGTGGTAGTCGACGGTACGTTCTCAAGAGTCAAGGAAATCCAAGCTGAAGTCCTCCAGGGCAGCGTCCTTGCTCCGTGGCTCTACACCGTTTACACAGCCGATTTGCCGACGGTGGACCCGACGACACTGGAGCATCCCGATAGCTTCAACCTCGCCACATTCGCTGACGACACAGCAATACTCTCCAAAGCCAGCTGTGTATACCAAGCCGCTGAAAAACTGAAAAGAATAACTGAACGAATTCGAAACGTGGGCATCTAAGTTGGGAATTGCCAACAACGGGCAAAAATCGGTATGCTCCACATTCGCGATCCGCAGAGATACATTTAAATTGTGGCTTAAAATTGACCGAGTGCGGCCTAAAGGACTTTGCTTCTCCTCTCTCTTTTTTAGGTATTCCACAGGTTCCTCAAAAGCAGACAAATTGTTGTGGTAGTCGACGGCACGTTCTCAAGAGTCAAGGAAATCCAAGCTGAAGTCCTCCAGGGCAGCGTCCTTGCTCCGTGGCTCTACAGCGTTTACACAGCCGATTTGCCGACGGTGGACCCGACGACACTGGAGCATCCCGATAGCTTCAACCTCGCCACATTCGCTGACGACGCAGCAATCCTCTCCAAAGCCAGCTGTGTATACCAAGCCGCTGAAAAACTGAAAATAATAGCTGTACGAATTCGAAACATGGGCATCTAAGTTGGGAATTGCCAACAACGGGCAAAAATCGGTATGCTCCACATTCGCGATCGGCAGAGATACGACGCCAGGAGTGTTCCTCCAAGGCGAACTCCTTAAACACAAAGACTTTTACCGCTACCTTGGAGTCCACCTTGATCGCAAGCTCACTTAGAGCAAACTTGTAAAAACAGTGTGTCATAGCTTAAGAGAGAAACAAAATAGTATGACATGGCTCTTAAAGGAAAAGAACTAGCTCTCTCTATGAGCAACAAGGTCCAGCTTGGCGCTATGCAAGCCTTCTTCGGCACTGCAGAAAAATCCTCTTTTAGGAAAATTAGTGTTTTCCAATCTTAGGTGCTGAGACTAAGTACCTAATTCTACCTAACCCTTTCAAAAGAGTTCTCTGGGGGTGGTAAAGGATGATAGAAAGGTGTAATTCATGTTATGTATGCATGTGTGTATTGTTCGTTCAAGTACCATATTTTAAACAATTATATTAAATAGCCAGATGCAATAACATCTGAAATATTTCCTTTACCGGTCACACTCTAGGAAATTTTTCTTAAGTGAAACTTGGCGTAAGTAGTAATATATAATTAAACAAGTAAGAGGCTCTAGTCGGGAGCTCCCGACTAGGGGATACCCTGAACCCTCTTATTCCAACTCGAGAGAGTTCTCAGTTGAGAGTGATTGACGTGTTTTACTTGTGCTCCAAGATTTTTATATATTTTTGCGCTTTTATCCTGCTTTTTATTTCAAAATTTTGCATTTTTCGGTGGTTTATTTAAGAAGCTTTTATAAACTGTGCAAAGTGTTATCTGTTGTGCAGCGTGTCTGTTAATTATTGCATTTTATAAAACGCGGCGTCAGTTCCGTATTTGTTGTTATTGGCTGTTTTAAGTCTTTTGCCTTTGTGCTCCCCTGTGCATACACTTGTTTGGGCGTGTGTTCGCTGCATACTTTCTGCTTGTGCATCGCGCTCTAGCAAATTTCTTTCTATTGCTTTTCGCACCAAACAATTTGTTAGTGTACGAATAATTGTTTTTTGAGTGTTTACTTGCTCTATCTTGTGCACCGTTTTCGTTTCGTTTTGCTCTGCGCTCTCGCAAGTTGCTTGCGCATTTAATAATTATGTCGTGCTGTAAGAAACCGTGCA